AAACTTGGTTCTGTTTTGAAATTAAACACCGAGTTGGTTGAATACTAATTCACCAGTTGCATATATCCAAAAGGGTTCTCAGGCAAAATTGACATGGATAAATGTAAACTGTTAGCACTCCCATGATCGGTCGAAATATGGATACTAGAAAAGTTCCATTACTAAAAAGTTATTGGGAGGAGAAATTCCCTATGTAAGTGCAATATGCGCATGATTGTACTTTGACCAACATATTCGACCAAATATTACATTCTCAATAACGTGTTAGCTAAAAATAGCTCAGGACCAACACATCGTATATCGTCATTGAAATGGTATCAAGAATGTGCTTTGATATCTATATGAAACCATCGGAGTAATCGTTATTCATCCCTTATAAATTGAATTAAATGATTGATGATAACAATATTTCTAAAGGAATTGAAAATATCAAAAGTATTACTCTAACACAAAGTAACGTGATTTGAGTTTTACTGAGGATGGGTATCCCCTTACCTCATTGATATTTTATTAATGAGTATATATTTATCTTGAAAGAGACCATGATGTTATATACGCAATACCGTGATAAAAGTATATATCAAGTAAATGTTAGATTCTTATTGATGTGTTTCACTCAGGGGAAGTACTTACACACTTATTTATCATCAATTATAATGGTGCGTTGTACTCTTTTTCCTTCGACCAATGTTTATTTTTTTCCCATCGGGTTTTGTTACTTGGTAAGGTTTTTTTGAGGCAACACAACATGCACCATCCCACATTTTAATTTTGCAAACGTAAAATTATGTTGAAGGAAGAACATAATTAATATATCGCAGTCAAAAGTAATTGACGTGTGCTATTAGTGCATCACATTTTTCCCTTCACTAATGTTTATTTTTCCCATTGGGTTTTGTTTATTGGCAAGGTTTTAGCAAGTTAAAATTTTCTTACTCTTATCACCTTATACTTGGCACACAGGGGGAGAATTGAAGGAAATATATTCCTCTATTTTGTGTGCCTTCGCTAAGGTAATTAACGTAAAAAGTATTGGAATGCATAGACTTTCCAAAAATCCTTGATTAATGTAATTACTAAGGATATGTGTAGACATGAGGGGGAGTTCCCCATCTACATTATGTTACACTCTTTTCCTTCAACCAAGTTTTATTTTTCCCACCGGGTTTTGTTACTTGGTAAGGTTTTTAATGAGGTAACAATACATATAAACTTTATTGATCAAAACAAGGATCAAATAAACACAGACTTAATGGAAGAAGTCTATCGTGATGTTATACTCTTTTTTCCAGTCAAGGTTATTTTTTCCCACAGGGTTTTTATTACTTGACAGAGGTATTGTCGAGACAACAAGACAGATACCAAATTCTATTCAACTCAGCACAAGGGGGAGTGTTGAAGGAAATTCTATGTAGTGTGCTATCGTTTATATAGAATATGTATTAGGGTCATTTCTATGTAAACTATGTAATATGGGCCTATTGGCCCGTACTTGTAAACCCTACTCTATCCCTATTTATAGGGGCATTCGCTAATGAAACTCTACGAACAATTTCCCTACAACAGTAGACAAATTTTCATCGATGCAATATTATCTTCAGCAGAAAATCAGAATATATACATGATAATTTCACCACCATGCACTCTCAATTTAGGACCATCAGATCTACTTCGAAGGGAAGTAATTTCGAACAAGCTAAGAGCCTAAAAAAAGAAATGCTCTAACCAGTAGCGGGCCCAGAGATTTGTCAGAGCAGAGGCACATTAGACACTAAACTTACTCTATAATAAAATTTTCAAATGTAATAAAGATGGTAAAAAGTAAGGCAATAGCATAAATTATACGGAGTAGTTTTTTTTACTCCAGGGGGTCTGGGGGAGGGGGTCTGGGGGGAGCCTGGAGTAATCAGGGCTGAAATGACTCCATTGAATTTCAAACCCTTTTGTGCCTAGCGGGATTCGAACTCGAGACCTCCCACTTGGCATGGTAACCTCGCAACCAGCTGGGCTGGAATGCTTGGTTATTATACAGAGTAGTTAATTACATATGAAATAGTTCATTTCTGCAACTTTGGTAAATCAAGCCTACGAGTTTTCTTATTCTGAAAATGTTGGTAAATTTGTAAGATAATCATCTCCCATCTTATTGCGAAGATCTGTCTTGATAATATTCATCGCAGAGAAGACTCTTTCAACGGTGGTTGTTGCAACTCGTAATACTAAAGTCAACTCAATCAGACGATATACCAAGTGAAAAGAATTGTGAACTTTAAGCTCAATCATCTTTTTGCAAAATTCACCAATAGTCTGTACGGCAGAAAATAATTCATTTGTTCTCATTTCATATATCCACACCTGGAGTTACTCTTTCAGCTCCATTCGATCAACAGATGAAAAACCGCATGAATATAATTCCGTGAGGTTCAGTAGCTTTGACTCACAGAAATTGCAGAACATATCTCTAGGATCAAGACATGCTAAACCCGGTCCTCACAAGTACATCATCTCCAAATCTCTTCCCTTCTACCCTATGGAAAAGGTAACACCAAAAGCAAAATGTAGCATCTTTAGAAATATTATATTCCAACCATTCCCAATTTTTAAACCACTCTGCTCGAAAACATCTCATTTTTTCCCAAATAAAGTTTGTGGAAAATCATGAGACAACGGTTGACAAGCGCCTTTAACGACATACACACTCATCACGTCATCTCTTACTCGAGGCTCGTATTCAATGATTGGCTTTCGTAATGCGGGATCGCTAATGATATCCTACTCACACGTACTATCTGTGCGGGCTCTTTTGTCTCCCCTGGTTTCATTAGACTCATCTCGGCCAATGCTTACATTCAAAGCAACAACATTTGCATCGCTTGAGATAGACTGATTAGGAACGTTCGAAGAACTATCCCTTCGAGTTAAAGACCTCTTAGTCCGAATTACAAAGTTATCCAAACTCATGTTCCTAATTTATATAACCGTAACATTTTAGTATCTTGATTATCTAATACTAATAATTTTTTGTACGGGTTGGGGCATTAATTTTACCCGAAGTAGTAGTACTGAATTTTTTGGCCAGAAGCAGGGGCACCTATTTTACCCTAAGTATTAGTAGTGAAATTCTTGGCCGGAAGCCGGGGCACTTGCCCCGGTAGGCCCCCTAGGTCCTCCACTGGCTCTAACTGTTGGTTCACACTAAGACTTACAACAATACAAAAGAAAGGAAGAACAAAAATTAATTCAGAAGGGAACTGATGTATTGAGCAAGTGCCTTATTGCAGCAATAACATCACCTTTATGCTCCCAATTGGCGTTGTGTGCTTTGAGAATAAGGCTTCTTCAATTATTTGGCTGAATTGGCTCGGCAAGAATACTCACACCATATGAAGCTGTGAGTTATGTAAATTGAAAATAAGAATTAAGCTATTTGCGATCCAAACGATTGTTCTTTGTTTTATTTTCTTGTACCATATCCCGACATACTGTTTGCCAGAGTTGCCAGAAGTGAACAATCCTAGCTCAAAGAGCTCGCCGGCGGAGACTAAAGTTCAAGAATGCATCGTCTATGATAGAAAAATCCAAAGCAAACTACCGGAATAACTTATCAATGTTCGTAAAGTCTGCGAACATCTATGACCCTAAAACCAGATGTATTTATGTTAGTCGACACGTTCGGTTTCATGAAACTGAGTATTCCAATCCCTCCCTTGCCTCCGTGTCCTGCCCATCCGAATCACCTACCCAAGATTTCTGCCTGTTGTACGTCCAACTCTTCCCTGCACCCACTTTCTCTCCCCTCTCCTCCCTCACTGCCTGATAATTTCCATTTTCTATATTTTATCCATTCACTTTAGTATCACATTTGACTGGTTTTCGGGTATAATTGTGCTTTAAATGTTTGTATTCTCGGATTTATTTTGTTAGCGGGTGCTATTAACGTTTTTATTGTTTTTCACGGGTTTTAGACATCTTTTAGCATCCCGAGGCATAAGTGGAAGACCGAAAACAGTCCAAAAGAAAACATCCTAAATACAAGCCTTGCTGATCAGTTTGGAAGGAAGCCACTAGTCTAGACACATTTTAGATAGTTTTCGCATTTTAGTTAGGATCTTGCATTTTAGCTCTCTAGATTTTAGTGTAGATTCGTAGAGATTTATCTCCAAGATTCAAGGTTTTTACTTGCACTTCAATGGATTGCTTCTCATCTTTTAGGGGTATTCTACACTTATTACTTTATTTAAATTTATGTTTTAGGATTTAGTTTTATTTTTTCACTTTTATGTTTATGTATTTATTTTATTTACAACGCATGAGTAGTTAGATGGTTAGGGGGCAGTTTGGAGCTTCTTTATGTGATTGAATTGTTGGGTGACTAGTATTGAATTTTATTGCTTGAAATGTGTTTGTGAAAATGCCTCAATGACTTTAATTAATACAATTTTGAGGAATCTTGTATTTATTTATTTGGGAATATTTAGATGAGAATCGAGTATTCATTTGCCCCCTTTCACACACACCTAGGCACGACCATGAGAGTGGCGGGCCAACGGGGCCTCTGCTTTGGATTATTGTTGTTGGTGTCGGTAGGCGGTTTCGGACCATGAGAGTGGTCAACACCGTTTCTTGACCGATCCTACGACCACGAGAGTGGCGGAGGAACCTTTGTGCATGCTCTTTCTTGCAATAAAGTTCTAATACTATTTTGTCCAACCTTCAATTGCAATGTGAGTTCCAAACATGCTCCCGACACCCCTTTGCATCTTTATTTCGTAGTTTAGCTCAGCTTCTTTAGCATAGTGTCACGCCCCGGACCGCGTCCGTGCCACGTAGACAACCGCCGTACAACCCAATAAGAACAACGTAGTTCATTCTTATCAAATCGCACAAGGCGTCCGAAAGATTTCTATTGCCAAACCGATTAGTAAACCCATACGATCAACATCAATATATTAGTCAAATGCATGCGGAAATAAAATAAGTTTGACATTCAGTCACATGTTGCAAACACGGGCACACAGGCCCTTCAATAGTTTAATAGAAAACATCGTTCAAATATCCATGAGCAATTTCACAATTTCAAATAAGAATGGAAGCACGAACCACGTCTTCCTTATTTGAGTTCACCCTGGGCAAAGGTGCAGGTAGCAGGACTCTAGCCTCAACCTGAAAAATGTGAGGGCCCCCGAAGGGATCAGTACTCCATAGAAGTACTAGTGACAAGCAGGCTATATGAGGAATAACTAATGTTTCAGACACGAGACCCAAAAATAGGGTGATACTTATATTTATAGGTGTAACCATTGTTACCCCATTCCCAAGATAATACATATTGTATATATTTGTAAAATACTTGACCCGTAGGTCGTTTTATCACAAAGAGTCTTTTAGAGGTATGGCGATTACCCAACCTTTCCCATTCATTCCTGAATGCCTAGCTCACGGGCTACATTCTACCTTCATAATATCCTACCGAGTTTCAGGAGTGTTTACCCTCCCGGGGATGCTCAACCCCACCGAGTTTCTGGGATTGTTTACCGTCCCGAGGATACTCAACCCCACCGAGTTTCTGGGATTGTTTACCGTCCCGAGGATACTCAACCTTACCGAGTTTCTGGGATTGTTTACCGTCCCGAGGATACTCAACCTCACCGAGTTTCTGGGATTGTTTACCGTCCCGAGGATACTCAACCTCACCGAGTTTCTGGGATTGTTTACCGTCCCGAGGATACTCAACCCCACCGAGTTTCTGGGATTGTTTACCGTCCCGAGGATGCTCAACCTCAACCGTATTTCTAACCAAACCCTAACCTGGATATGGCTAACCTTGCATTCACTTAACTATGGACAATACCTAGTCCTATAGTCATATAATAATCCTTAGTAACCAATGTGGACGGGTCCCACCTGATCGGTCCACGTTATCCTACTCAAAAACTACCCGTTTTGAGTATAAACCAATACCCGGTCGGGTATCCACCTTACCCGGTCGGGTAGGGCCGGGCAGAAGCCCCTGGAACTGACTTTACTTGAGACCCGGTCGGGTCCCTGACCTTACCCGGTCGGGTCTAGTGTGACAGTGGCTTCTGGAGCCGAATTTAATCAATACCCGGTCGGGTATCCATCTTACCCGGTCGGGTATCACCCTTGTCTCGGCGGTCAACGCCCGTTTGACCGCCCAAACGAAGTCCGATTAACGTGAAATTTTATATGCACATTCTACTTGAAGTCCTTGATCCAAAAATACCATTTTTGACCCCTGGATCATTGTACATAATAAGTTATCACATTTTTAATCACCAAACATACAAACACGCCTTTCAACTTTGTTTTATATATATTCATGGCATAAGCCCATACTTGATTAACTTTAATCATTCCGTAAAACATATCCTTGATTACTTTAGGTAATCTCATGCCTCAATCAAAAGTTATAAAGCATATAGCCGTCTTCTCACCTTAATGAAGCTTATGGAGTTCTAGCCCTTCCCGATTGAGCTCCGGTGAAACTCCGGTGAACTTCAATGAACTCCGGCGACCCTTTCAACTCCGTGAAAGTTCTTGAAACACCTTATACAAGTTATTAACAAGGTTTTATCATCATAAAACCCATATCAATACAAATAACCTCAAAAAGGTTATTTTCCGGTGAACCCGTCCACTTGGCTCTCAAGGTTCATCTTGGGTATAATCCAGCCCTCCAACTCCCATCCTACACTTTCACATGTGTAGAACTATCCTAGGAGTATGAAATATGATTGAAGAGAAGAAATGGAATTCATGAAGTCCTTACCTTGCTAACCACAAGTTTCCTCCACCCGAAACTCCTCTTTTCTCTTCTCTTTTCTCCTCCTTCTTCTCCCTCTTGATTTGGTGCGTGTATGGATGATGAAATGGAGTATTTTGCAGGCCTTCTCTCCTCAATGCAGCTGGTTTGGACGAGGGACAGAGGCTGGGGTGGTTGTGAATAGCTCTTTTGGCTTATTCACCAATAATATGGGGGAGAGGGACCCCTTTTCCTATCAACTTGGTCTCAAATCACTTCCCCCCTCTTCCCACATGATATGGTGCGGATCCCCTTGATATTTTGCAGCTCAAGGTCGTGGGGTGGCCCCCACTCATGTGGGAGGTCATCCCTTTATGTCCCCGAGTGTACACTTGGTCCCGAAAGTTGTATTTCCCGGACTGTTTTAACTATATTCCATTTTATCGGGTAAAATGAAATACCTCACATTCCTCCAATTATTATTGGCTATAAGAATGAATGTATATTCCCCATCTTTAATTTGATGGTCTCCATAATTTATTAATGCCCTTTTTATCTGATATTCCTTGAGTACCGATAAATGGGCTTTATATGCCCAAGCGGTTACTCCCATGATTTATGTGGTCCAACAAGGATGCCCACCATTATACACATGTTACCTTGACCCAAATGAATATAATATGTGGTCCCGAACATATCGGGCGGCCCCCACTTCCGGTGTGGGCCCCACGTGAATTTTACTATTCACGTAAAAGAAATGATAAAAATTCACAATCACGTAAAATGCGTTTATTCATTCCTCGGGTTCAATACATAATTTGATAAAGTACAATTACTTGGGGGCGGTGTTACAAGTTCTACCCCCCTTATTTGGGATTTCGTCCCCGAAATCCACGTGTCTAGTCAAACAGAAATGGATACTGTTCCCTCATCAGGGTCTCCACTTCCCAAGTTTGCTCCTCGACACGATCACTCTTCCAAAGCACCTTCACCATCGGTATCTCTTTACTCCTTAGCTTCTTTACTTGTCGGTCCATGATCTTTACCGGCTGCACCGCATAGTGAAGGTCTTCCCGGATTTCTACCGGTGGTTTCTCAAGAATATGTGACGGGTCCCGTACATACTTCTTGAGCATAGAAACATGAAATACATTATGAATCTTTTCTAATTCTGGAGTTAACTGAAGCCGGTACGCTACAACCCCAATCCTTTCAATGATTTTGAATGGGCCTATGTAGCGTGGGTTAAGCTTACCCCGACTGAGGAACCTGATGATCCCTTTCCAAGGTGACACCCTCAGAAATACCTCATCGCCGACCTCGAACTCTAACGTCCTTCGTCGCACTAGTAAAAAAATGGCTTACGGTGACAGTAAATTAGTGTCACTAAACGATTTAGTGACACACTGAAAGTGTCACAGAAAAGCGGGGCAAGTGACACAAAATTTTGTGTCACCGTTAACAAATCACTTTTGTGTCACAAAATTATGACATATAAACATCATTGAGAACTGTGATATATACGTAACACAGATGTTTGTGATACCAATGCATCATGTTTTTTAGTGATATATACATATCAAGAATTTTTGTGATACCATGGTATCATATTTTTTAGTGATATAGCAACATCAACAAATATAGTGACATACTAATACATTCATATTTTGTGATGGTTTGGTGTCATATCATTTTTGACACTGCACTATATCTTGCATTCATGATACATTAGTTTCGTTACTTTCTATGTTTATTTTTACAACAAATTAATTATTCAGATTTCAAGCAATACACTAAAAGATGTAATGCAACAAACACAACCAACTTTAAATACATCTCATCTAATAATAGTGTTAAGTCATCATTGTTAATTCTTCATGTTAGGTTACAACTTCCACAACAAAATGGGTGCATGTTTTCAGTTTCAAACAAAAATGACGCCACAATTAACCGGGGCATTGCATAATAGTTTTACATTCCACAAAACATGAACCTACAATTCAACATGAAGTTTTCAATGTAACAGGCAAAACAGTTGCACATATTCCTTCACACCAAAAGTACAAGAATTGATCTTCACCAGACCATCGTTCAAAATCAACCGCATCTGTAAACAAAAAGTATGTACAAGTATAAGAAATTAATTGCACAATATGTACATATGCATGACAATTTTATAGAATATTACAATGCTTAGAATTGAAACTCGTATTCTACTACTAATTGAAGTTTGCTTTACAAACCATGTTAGAAACTCCTGCACTAATTAGAAGATCACATTCAGTTCAACACATTTAGTTCAACAGTGTAATTCAAAATGATACAAACTGATTTACTTTTCCATTTCGTCTAACAGTGTAATTCAAAATGATTTACTTTTCAAGTTCTTTTTTGTTGCATATGCTGCCCACTTCTCATTGCATTTACTTTTCAGTTAGTAAAGTAACATTGCACAATATGTACTTCATCAAGAAGTATAAGAAATTAATTGCACAATATGTACATTCTTTTTCATTGCATTTACTTTTGAAGTTCTTTTTGTTACTTAACAGTTAGTCTAACTGTGTTAGTCTAACATTTCTACGACAAAATGATTTACTTTACCGAGTTCATAATCAGCTAAGGCAGCAACAATAATAAATCAAAATGGAAAAAAAAACTTACTTTAGGACCAATTTTGTTGCATATGCTGCCCACTCCTCACGCACTTGCAAGATGTCTTGTTCAGAGTAGTTCTTTATTGTTGAGAACTAGAGTATAAAAATACAATGAGTACAAACATATACAAACTTCAATTAATGTTATCCCACAAAAATATATATAAACAGTCCACGTTTAACTCACATTCTTTTTCAGGACGTTAACATCACAAACAATATCACTCATGTACTTCATCAAGAAGTATCCACATTCCATAGAACCAGTTTGCTTAGGGCACTAGATAAGTGTCAAGTACAAATTAGTATTATTATACAACATAATGTAAACATGCCAAATAGAATTTAGTTTAATGAAGAACATACCATGACTGTTACCCAATTCAGAGATAACCTCTTCTTAGAAACCGAGGCATGATGAATTTTCACTCCCCTGATATTCAAATACAAGTTAGATATGAGTACATGATTTTTTCATTGACTTATAATTAAAAGTGTTTATTTTTCAACACAATGCTCTGACTGAAACAATTACAACAAAAGGCCTACATACATGCATGTAATTAAGTACCACAATTATGACACTCAAAAATAACTTAACTGGTTCACAATTAGTGACAGATCTTCTGATGGCTTCTCTCCAATTGAGTCCAAATAGTACACTGTCCATGCCGTAATATCAATAGCTACTAACACCCAATGATTGCTACACGTTATATTATAAAGTTAATCAATTGCTATAAAAAAATCCAGGTTGAAATAAAAGGATACGAATCAGTAGCAAAATAAAGATTTAGTGTAATACTTTTTTTAAGATCAATTCCGGGATTGTTAAACAAAGCTTATGATATTTGAATATGCATCACCATAGCAATTGAGCACAATCACACAAACCAACCAATTTCTTACAGATGAGCTTATGCACTTTAATTTGCGTGACCCCAGAAAAGTAAATGTAAGAGATCATAAAAGATTGAGCACAATCAATTTGCACTTTGCACTGGTACACCACTAAAAATAAAAGATCATCCACTAAAAAATTAATTCATAAAAGATCATAAATTAATTTTTTTAAACTTGTAGACCACTAAAAATAAAAGATCATCCACTTGCAGCAAGGGTTTTTATGTAAACCAGCAGGATTACTAACTCTACTTTCACTAGTAGTACTCCAAGTCAAATCATTGGTCAGTGCAAAGAAGGATTTAGTGTAATACTTCTAAGTTCTAACCATCTTAATTACCATGTATTATAAGGGATTAGCGTGATTTGGCCAAGCAAACCAACAGCCAAAAGATCTGCTATATATCGAGACCTCCTTGTAATGGACTCATCTGAGGATTTCAATGGTACTGGTACTGCAGCAGACGTGCCAAATTGGACTGGCATATTACCTCCATCTTGAAGCATCTTCTCATGCAAGTGCCTACACATTGAATGAAAAAAAATCACATGGAGTTTTATCCATATAGAGCTGCAAAACTAACATAAATGAAAAAAGAAAATTAACCACTCTTGATAATTTTCAGAATGGATAACTTAAATAAATTATAAATCAAACTTACCTAGACCAGATTTCTACAACAGAATTGTTCACCTGCTCAAAATTGATTACAAGGCCGCACACATCCTTATTGAAAATAGATTTAGTTGCAAACCCGAATATTTCAGCATCATGTTCGACCATGTACCCATCTCCTAGGCATTTGTCAACTAGCATAGAAAACATCTTCATGCTATTGCTTTGCTCTTTTCTTTTTTCGGCAGCAAACCTTGTAGTTCTTTGCATTATTAGTTTCCTTGCCGGTGGTTGCCTTGACTTCTTCATCTTAGCCCTTGCATGTTCTTTAACAACTACAACACCTCCACCTTCAACTTCAATGAACTTCTCTGGAATGACTTCTTCCTTGAGGTGAGGAGGTTCAACCTCAAATACATTTTATAAGATGATTAAATAATCATTCATCATTCGCAGTAGTTATTAAATTATATTATTGAGATTTAATTTAAAAAAAAACATAAATTCAGATTATTATATTATAAAAAAGAATATGATTAAACAATACCTTTGTTTTAGTACCACCTAGTTCACTCACAACCTCATCTCGTGATGCTTCACTTAATGGTGCGTTATTAGCTGCTCTAACTACATTCTCCTCGGGAAGATTATTCATATGCATGAATCGCGGGGACCTTCTTGAAACTGCTGCGAGATGTTTTTTCTGGGGAGTCAACTTTTGTTCTTCTAGCACTTCAGTTGCCTTAATAACCGAAATTCAGAAGACTAATAGGTTAATAACTTCATAAATATACACTCCATATGTGCATACCATTAAAGGATGTTAACACATTTCACCGAGCATGCTTATATTTGCGCTATGAAATTTCAAAAAAACTATGTCACTCTGAATAAATACCACAATTAATAAGGATATGTTAATTAACCTGATGCAAGTGTTAGAGTAAACAGGTAAGCATAAAATGACATAAGTGACTGAGTAAGGCACATCATTTTAGCAATGGCGAAGGGCAGCCAATACAAAATTGTGATTTGGAGGATTTTATTTGGTTCCCTAATAAGGATTTTCCTAAAAAATAAAAGGAATAAGTAGCTTTTGTCTAATATGCATTATTGAACTTCTTTCTCTTCATGAATGCAAAACATAAAATTAGTACACCATTGAGAATTTTTGTACAACATACATGAATGCAAAATAGGAATCAGTAGCTTTTATTTAGGGAAAGCTATTGTAATTTATTTAAAACATCAAGATACTATACAATATTAATATAGAGACTTCTTTTCAAGAAGTCCATATAGAGTGAATATTTTTAAAACTGAAAAAGTATAAGGTCCCTAATTAAATATTTGGATAATATTAGTGTTACAAAAAATATTGAAAAACACGTTGGATTTATATACCTTTCGCTTTGCTTTTGTATCTCCTTCTTCTTCACTCTCATTTGGCTTGGGCTTCTTCTTCTTGGAGTTGTGTGTGGGGGAGCTCCTGGGGACAGTACCACGACGTCTCTTCACCGGAGTAAGTTTTGGTTGATCTACCTCTTCAGCAGCCTATCAATGATATAACATCAACAAACACATATGTTACTTATTACCAGTGGTATTACTTATCAAAATTACTTAACCATGTCAGAAGTGATTTTCATGTTATGCTTGTTTTGGTTTGGTTTAAACTTTAGATTAGATAAACTAGTTTAAAATCCAATTTAATCAGCAGTCACTTATGTTTTTATAACTTCACTTAACAGATTAGATAACAAGTTAATTTTAAGTTATAACTTAACTTATACTCTTGTTTTTATCATTTGTTCCTTTATTTTTGTTTCAGAAGTTTCCATTCCATTTATAGAATTATAAGCAATCACTTTTTAAACCTAAGCAATAACTCAGAATTACATTACAAAATAGTTATAACCAAAGGTTGAACAATAAAAAGTTACTTATATATCAAAACAGAATGAGTGAAAGAACATGCAAGGGTTAAGCAATAGTAGAGTCTTATGAAGCAGGATATTCTAAAAAATTCAGAATGTGTGTATACCTTTACAATAGGAGATTTGTTGGGAATACTTGAACTGCCAATTTCACTTATGGCATGTGACACTTGTGTCCTCATTTCATCAAACTTAAGAACCATCATCTTGTACCTTTGCTCACACATCTCATGCTCCTTTTCCCGCTCAGATCTTGTCTCTTTTGGCCTGTGGAAGTATTGTGTTGGGGTTATGAAGTGTCCCAACCCTTGAACTCTACTACCATTGGGTTTTTTTCTTAAGAGCAGTGGAAAGAACATCAGCATCCCCACTAGGCACAAACGACCCCTCCTGTACTTTGTGCTTCAGGTCCTCCTAAACATAGGTTGAGGGAACGTAGTTAGTTGCTAAAGAAGTTCTACATTAACATTTTTAAATATGAAAAATATAGTTACACTTACAATTTCATTTTCCACTTCTTTGACATCATCATCATAGGTCCCATCTTTTTTTTTCCTGCCAAGCAACCACGTATCACAACGATCAATGTCTTCCAGATTTTTGACTCCAAGTTCTTTTTGCTGGAAATTAGAAGAAGAATAAGTGAAACAGTAATATAATGGAGGAATACGTAGCTCAACACTATATATTGTTATAATAATAGGCATTCATAGTCATTGATAAAGGACCTGCTTTAACAGCAAGCCTCCATATCCAGTAGAACCCAATCGGTGGTTCAAATTGTGCTTTTTTCGGCGCTCTCTCGCTTTTTTGCTTTTCTCCTGAAATGAAACAAATTAATACTCAAATTGTAGGTCTTTTACAGTTTACCAAAAAATCTTGAAGTGTAGGAGTATAACTTACCACAAATTCTTCGGAGAAAGTCTTCTTCACAAATAATTTCCATTCTTTCTTCGAAATGTGTTTGTACTCCGCGGGAGGTAACTCTAACTTCTCCGGCTCATCCTCATGTTGATAGATAAAGTCAGTTCGCAGTGTAGATTTGAAATTTCTGAAAGCTACACTCATAGTAGCTAACACATGCTTTTTTGAATTGTCACTCAACACGAACAATTCCTACATACAATTTATTATAAAGTTGTTAGCCCTCTAGCAGATTAAGATCAGTTCTGAAATATAGCCTTGTTTTTTCAACAAACATTATTTATTACCTTAAGATGGTTCCACATTTCATCTTTAAGTTTAACTTTCACATGTCTCCATTCATCATGCACTATGGATCAGAAACATGATCCCGCACTAAGACACCAATATAATTGGTCAGTTCTGTCCATTCTTTACCTGCATGAACACCAAAGCTATTCACCTTTACCACCACCTTATCATCTGCATCTTTCTTTAGTAACATTTTCTTCTTTGTCTTTTGTCTCCTTTTAGGGCGTTGGCCCAAATCTTCCAACCCTTCGTCCACATCAAAATCATCCACGACTTCTTCATACTTTGACATGGCTAGCTTTCACCTGTATACATATAATACAAATATGCGGTTATTATTTAATTAGTGAAAATCAAAATAGTAAGGAATCAAAATAGAAGAATGATTCAATCACGCTTATAACTTACTGAATGAAGTACATAAATCAGGGTAATTGAGACTCATTGGGTACTGGAATTGCATCAATGTCAATCCTATGATAAATTTGATCATCATCTTCAGCTTCCGCATCGTTAAAATGGTTTGGGTATTGTGAAGTTAAAGGTTCGTGTAATATCATTTCATCACTGTCAACATCCATACCATTACTAACCTTCTGCCCAACTGAACACACTATTGATTTTTTAGGATCAAGTTGATCTCTCACATAAAAAACTTGTTTGGCATGGGAAGCTAAAATGAAACAATCATTTTTCTGACCTATCTTATTAAGATCCACTACTGTGAAGCCCAACTTGTCAGTTTTCACATGCCTACTATCTACCCAAGAACACTTGAAAACAACTCTCTTAGTCATTAGATAGTTCAAGACCCAAATCTCATCAAGGACCCCATAATAATTCATCGACGCTGAACATGGAGTTTTATCCTTAGAGCTAGAAACTTGAACAGTTTCTGCTACGAGTCTAACACCACTGTTTTGTGTTACCCGATTCGAATCTCGATCCTTAGTTGCAAAGGAAAACCCATTTATATTATAGCCTGAGTATATTGTCACTGTTGTGTTAGGCTTCTTAGCTAACCACCTCACTGTTTCAGCGACAGTCACACCATTTGCAACATCAAGACAAACCTACAAATAAATATTAAATTTTAAGTAAATTTGACTCTTATTATTTTTTATGTATATAGATAAGGTTAGATTTATCAACTACCTTCTCTTCAAACCAGTTAACAAATGTACGATAATGCTCCGTATCACAACAAGCAATATCCTGTGACTGTAATATATCCATGTGTTCCCTATTTGGATAATATTAGAAAACTTATTAAATATGGAAGTGGAAAAAAATTAAGTAAGAGTTTTATAAAAGTTAAGTCATACTGTATATAAGGTTGGACTTCAGGGGTATTAAACAGCACAGTACGATGTGCTTGCTCAAGTAGTGAGGAATCAACAGTCTGCGTGTCTCCACGTCCTATCGGCCTTTCAGGTGGCCCATCCTCACCCGAATTCATAGGTAATCCAATTGACTCGTGATTTGAAAGATATTCAGCACAAAACTCTAACGCTTCCTCTGCCACATAGCATTCAGCCATGCATCCCTCTGGATGGTAATGGTTACGCACATAACCTTTTAAAAACTTCATGAATCGTTCAAAAGGATACATCCAACATAGGTAAACTGGCCCACACAACCGAACTTGGGCAACGAGATGAACAGTTAAGTGAACCATTATATCAAAAAAAGCAGGCATGAAATATTGCTCCAAACGACATAGTGTAACCCGGTGATTAGCCTCTAGTATGTCAAGTGCATCATTATCCAGCACCTTCTCACATAATGCATTGAAGAACAGACACATGTCAGTTATAGAATTGGTAACATCTTTTGAGAGAGATAAGTTTCGAATGGCTAGAGGAAGAATTTGTTGCATCAGGGTATGGCAGTCATGTGATTTAAGACCTTGAAGATTACTGTCATCTTCAGACACTATGCTTTTCAAATTTGAAGAATAACCTTCTGGAACCTTGATATCCAATATGGTTTGACAGAACTTTTTTTTGTCTGCTTTGGACAAGGTGTATGGTGCTGGAGGTAATGAATTAGAACTATCATCGGGAACTAACTTTTTCCTAATCTTCATATGAAGAAGGTCATTCCGAGCCTTAATGCCATCTTTTGTCTTTGTGGATTAATCAAGTAGTGTCCCGTAGATGCTCTCGCACACATTTTTCTCAATGTGCATCACATCTAAGAGATGTCGGATTAATAAATGTTGCCAATAATCCAAATCAAAAAATATTTATTTCCTTTTAAACAATTTCAGTTTCATGTCTTCGTTCTTTTTCGTACGCTTTCTCTTGACTCCCTTTTTCTTTCCACTCTTATAATTAATATCTTCCACCAATTTAAGGACATCTTGACCCGACAAGGTGGCAGGAGGTCCTTCTCTTTCTACTTTATTGTTGAACAATTTTTTCATATTTCTTAGTTTATGATCATGAGGCAAAAAACGGCGGTGAGCCATGTATGCACACTTCTTACTACATTTTAGCCAGGTTGAGGAGGTTGAAGGACCACAAACTGGACATGCGTAATACCCCTTTCCAGTACACCCACTCAAGTTGGCATATGCCGGGAAATCGCTAATCGTCCACATCAATACAGCTCTTAAGTTGAAGGTTTCATTTCTAAACCCATCATAAACATCTACCCCATCATTCCAGAGGGTTTTTAGGTCATCAATCAAGGGCTTTAAATACACATCTATATCACTGCCCGGCTGTTTAGGCCCAGATATTAATAGAGACAACATCATGAATTTTCTCTTCATAGTCAACCAAGGAGGAAGATTATAAACTACTAACTGAACGGGCCAACAACTATATTTAGAGCTAAGGGAACTGTGTGGAGTAACTCCGTCACTTGAAAGAGCTAATCTTAGATTCCTAGACTCTACACCGAAATCAGGCCATGTGTTATCAATATGGTGCCAAGCAGGAGAGTCTGCTGGATGGCGCAGTTTGCCATCTTTAATGCGTTGGTTTGCATGCCATGTCATGTATTCTGCGGTTTTCGGTGACTGAAACATACGTTTAAACCGAGGAATGGGAGGAAAATACCAAAGAACTTTCTCTGGAACTTTGTTGATAGTTGTTATAGCTCCGTTTTTTTTTTCTTCCACCTAGACTCTCCACATGTTGGGCACTTGTCAAGATCAGCGTGCTCTTTATGGAAAAGAATGCAGTCATTACGACAAGCATGTATTTTCTGGTAGCCTAGCCCTAACACTTTCAATATTTTCTTAGCTTCATACATAGATTTCGGGATGGTGTTTTCTGCGGGTAATAAGTTTGAAATTGCTTCTAACAAAGCTGTGAATCCTTGATCAGACCACCCATATTTCCCCTTTATATTATACAACAACATCAACCCGGATAACCTAGAATAACTTGAACCCGAGTACAATGGCTTTTCGGCATCTTCAACTACATCCCTAAAATTCTTTGGGTGACTATCAAATTGTTCAAAAACGTTACCTAACATGTCCTCAAGTTGGCTTTGATCATGGAGGGCTGACTGTGAGTGAAAAGAAAATGATGGTTTTTCAACCTCTCCGTGCCAATTCCAAACAAGGTACGTATTCAGAAACCCATATTTAAGCAAATGGACTTTAACTTTTTCAGGACTGTGAAAGTCCATGTTGCAACACGTGTTACAGGGACATCTAAGTGATCTACGGTTTTCGGAGTTAAGCATAGCAAAGTTTATGAAATCATTGACTCCATCCGTGTATTCTTCAGACAACCTATTGTCATTCTTTATCCATGATTTGTCCATTTGAATGTTACCTGATAATTGAGTTCCAATTTGTCACATTTAACTGATCATTTTTACAAAAAAAAATAAAATAAAATACATCTTATGCGAAGTGCTTTTTTGTTTTTTTATATATTACTACTAATTTCTAGACCACAAATATTATTCAAGTTAGTCTTGAGTGTTATATTTGTACTATTTGAAAACCACATATGGTTGTACTTCTAGGATTGAGCCTTGAGTACTTTACGAAAATAGATGTGTTTTCCCAAGTGTACATGCTAGAC